TGGTGGTAGGTTTGCGTGCAGATCTAGAGGGGTAGCTGTCTAAGGAAAATTAATTCATTAAAGTAGCATGCTTGTATTGGGTGGGTGGTCCGTTAGAGTGTTGTTTAGATCGGTGATGTACTAAGCTCAGTTTGGTAGTTTGCAGGTCTAAGATGCTTCGCGTAGCAGTCTTGTTTTTGGGGTTTGGCAGGACGTTTAAGTTATGTGTTGTGTGGCATTTTAGCGGGGGGGTAGGGGGGGGTTTGTGAAAACATTGCGTGGGATTGTGGTGCGTATGCGTATGCGTATGCGTATGCGTATGCGTATGCGTATGCGTATGCGTATGCGTATGCGTATGCGTATGCGTATGCGTATGCGTATGCGTATGCGTATGCGTATGCGTATGCGTATGCGTATGCGTATGCGTATGCGTATGCGTATGCGTATGCGTATGCGTATGCGTATGCGTATGCGTATGCGTATGCGTATGCGTATGCGTATGCGTATGCGTATGCGTATGCGTATGCGTATGCGTATGCGTATGTCCTGTTACCATTAAATTAACATCACCTGAGCTAACCTGCATGTCAAAGCGAGCATTATTAACTATATGTCCTTGATCTAATTTCCCGTCCGTATTGCAACTCTATGTCCTGTGACAATTGACTTCATGTCCGGGTCAATCTAGGGCTAGTCTTGATCGTTGACTTAAAGTCCAGCTACAATTTATTTGACTGTGTTAAGGCCTTTGACGGCCATAGCTGAGTCCAAGCATCCCCCCAAAATTAAAAAATACCAGAGGCATGACACCACAGTTATGTGTCGGCATGGGCTGATTAGTAATTAATCCATCGAGATGTCTTATTTAAGGGGAAAGAATGGGCGGTTTTAGATGAGATGGTCCTGAAGAAAGAACCAGATGCCGTTTACGCCCCACCTGTAGGAACCCCCACGGTTTATGGGCCCGTGGCAAGAAGAGGGATACTTTTCACAAGGGTTGTTGGTTTCACGTGAGTTGGGGAGTCGTGAAATAACCATTTGGAGGTGATATGCGTGTAGTTCGTGCAAGTTTGATAAGTTTAATGGGGTATGTACGGTAAAGAATTGGATGTACTATGTCAGGTCAGGCATTCACATTGGATTGGGATATGCGTGTTGTTCTGAGCGTTGCTGTTGGTGTTATAATTGAGTGTTGGATTACATTGAGTTCATGTGTCGGTGGATATTCATGTGGTGGGACAGTTATGTACTATTATACATGTATGTACTGTACAGTTATGGGGTAGATAATATTATGCACGAATTACATAGGGTTTCAAGGAATAGTTTAAGTAGAATATCAGCTTTGGGTGTTGATGGTGGAACTTGGGTTTCTTCCTTGAGTCTTTGGGGGATGGTTGCTCCCCTTTTCTGGTTTACAAGACCAGTGTAATTTATATACTACATAGACCTTCATTTTAGGAGATGGTTTTCTACGATGCTTGTAATAGGTATCAGGACTAGGATAAGAAGGAAATATAGGATGGATGCTAGTTGGCCGATAATGATAAATGGGTGTTCGACGGGTTGTCCGCCGATTCAGGTTAGTGTTAGTAGATCGGCCACTAAGAGTCAGAATATGCATTGGCTGAGTGGTCGGAATATTATGCTTCGTTGTTTTGATGTGTGTAGGAGTGGCATTAGAATTAGGATTAGGATTGATAGGACTAGAGCTAGGACTCCTCCAAGTTTGTTGGGGATAGATCGTAAAATGGCGTACGCGAACAGGAAGTATCATTCTGGCTTAATGTGTGGAGGGGTGTTTAATGGGTTGGCCGGGATATAGTTGTCTGGGTCCCCCAGGAGATCGGGAGAAAACAGGACTAATATTAAGAGTGCTAGGACTATGGCTAATGCGCCTAGTATGTCTTTGATTGTGTAATATGGGTGAAATGGAATTATGTCTGAGTCTGATGGGATTCCTGTTGGGTTGTTCGAGCCGGTTTCATGAAGGAAGAGAAGGTGGACTAAAACTAGGGCTGAGATGATAAATGGGAGGAGGAAGTGGAAAGCGAAGAATCGTGTTAGGGTGGCTTTGTCTACTGAGAATCCTCCTCAGATTCATTCTACTAGGTTCGTCCCGATATAGGGGATTGCTGAGAGTAGATTGGTAATGACTGTTGCCCCTCAGAATGATATTTGGCCTCATGGGAGTACGTATCCCATGAAGGCTGTTGCTATTACGGCAAATAGGAGAATAACACCTACGTTTCAGGTTTCTTTGTAGATATAAGATCCGTAGTAGAGGCCTCGGCCTACATGTAAGAATAGGCAGATGAAGAATATGGATGCTCCGTTAGCATGTAAATAACGCAGAATTCATCCGTAATTTACGTCTCGGCAGATATGGGTCACGGATTGGAAAGCGGTTGTTGTGTCTGAAGTGTAGTGTATAGCTAGGAATAATCCTGTTAGGATTTGGATGGCTAAGCAGATGCCTAGTAGTGAGCCGAAGTTTCATCATGAGGAAATACTTGATGGGGCGGGTAGGTCGATCAGTGAGTCGTTGATAATTTTGAATAGTGGGTGTGATTTGCGGATGTTTGTCATTGTGGTTCTTGTAGTTGAAGTACAACGGTGGTTTTTCATGCCATTGGTCATGGTTAGAGTCCATGTGGGAATAATGATGACATATATTGTGTTTATTTTAAGTACTGTGTTTGTAGTTGGGTTTGTGGGGTTTTCTTCTAAGCCCTCTCCCGTTTATGGAGGGGTTGGGTTGATTATTAGTGGTGGGGTCGGGTGTGGTATTGTTATAAATTTCAGTGGCTCGTTTCTTGGTTTGATAGTGTTTTTAATTTACTTGGGGGGAATAATGGTGGTTTTTGGTTATACAGCGGCTATGGCTACGGAATTGTATCCGGAGGTGTGGATTTCAAATAAGGTTGTTCTTGGGGCGTTTGTGTCTGGGTTGCTAATGGAGGTGCTGTTAGTTTTGTACGTATTGAAAGAGGGGAGTGTTGGGTTTATATTTGAGTTCAGTAGCTTGGGGGACTGGGTTATTTATGATGTTGAGGATTCCGGGTTTTTTAGTAAGGAGGCTGTTGGAATTTCTTCTTTATACAGTTATGGGACGTGATTGGTGATTGTTACTGGGTGATCTTTGCTTATTGCGGTTGTTGTTATTATGGAGGTTACTCGTGGTGGTTAGATGTAGTTTGTCACGATTAGGCTCAGGGCGAGTGTAATCAGAAAAGATAGGAAATATAGTTTGATTTGGCCCTTTTGGCTTGAAATTAATGTTGAGGTTTTTGCTTGGAATAAGGAAATAGATTTTGGTAATACATTTTCTAGTCAGATTATGTCTAGGAGTATTGAGGCTACTTTTTGGCTTATAAATAGGTTTATGAATGGCTTGAAGTGTATGATAGTTGGGAAGTAGCCTAAGAGGTTGGAGAATTTGAGGGAGTTTAGTTTCAGATTTTGTGTAGCCATATTTAGTTCTAGGGCTACTGTAAAGCCTAGTAGAGTTACAAATAGGGCTGTTATTTTGAGATACGTTGGTATTGTTATTTGAGGAATGGTGGTTGGGGTGATGTTGTTGGAGATAATGAAACCGGCGAAGATGCTTCCTATTAGTAGGCGTTTGATTGGGTTAATTAGCAGTGGGTTGTTTTCATTAATTAGAATAAGTGTTGGGAATCGTGGTTGTCCTAGTAGGGCGAAATAAATAATTCGGGTGCTGTATACGGCTGTGAGGGAGGTTGCGATGAGGGTAAGTGTTAAGGCTCAGGCGTTGGTGTACGATGTGTTGGCGGCCTCAATGATTAGGTCTTTTGAATAGAATCCTGTGAGGAATGGCATTCCTGTGAGGGCTAAGCTTCCGGTGATTAGTGCTGTCGTAGTAAATGGCATGGTTTTGTATAGGCCTCCTATTTTTCGAATATCTTGCTCGTCGTTGAGACTGTGGATGATAGAGCCTGAGCATAGAAATAGTATCGCTTTGAAAAATGCGTGGGTGCAGATGTGGAGGAATGCTAGGTGGGGCTGGTTAATACCGACTGTTACTATTATGAGGCCTAGTTGGCTAGAGGTGGAGAAGGCTACGATCTTTTTGATATCATTTTGGGTCAGGGCACAGATTGCTGTAAATAGTGTGGTGATTGCTCCTAGACATAGTATTGCGGTTTGAATAGTCTTATTGTTTTCTGTTAGTGGGTAGAAGCGGATTAATAGGAAAATACCCGCTACTACTATGGTGCTGGAGTGTAATAGGGCTGATACAGGTGTTGGTCCTTCTATGGCGGATGGGAGTCACGGGTGAAGTCCAAATTGGGCTGATTTGCCTGTTGCTGCTAATAATAGTCCGGCGAGTGGTAGGTTGGTGTTGGTGGGGTTTAGGGCAAAGATCTGTTGAAGTTCTCAGGTGTTGAGGTTTGACAAGAATCATGCTATTGCTACGAGAAAACCGATGTCTCCAATTCGGTTATATAGAATTGCTTGTAGTGCTGCTGTGTTGGCATCGGTTCGTCCATATCATCAGCCGATAAGTAGAAATGATATAATTCCAACTCCCTCTCAGCCGATAAAGAGTTGGAACAGATTGTTGGCGGTCACTAGAATTACTATTGTAACTAGGAATATTAGTAGATATTTAAAGAATCGGTTGATGTAGGGGTCTGAGTGTATATATCATATTGAGAACTCCATGATGGATCACGTGACGAATAGTGCTACGGGCATGAAAATCATTGAGAAATAGTCTAGTTTGAAGCTAAGGCTTAGTTTTATAGTTTGGATAGATATTCAATGTCAGTTTGATAGTATTGTTTCTTGGCCTGATTGGATGAAGATTATTATTGGGATTAGGCTTACTAGGAATGAGTATGAGACTATAGTTTTCACGTAGTTTGGGTATAGCTTGTTGGAGTAGAAGTTGGAGTTCGATGATACGATTGGTGCCATTAGGATCAGTACGGACAGTAATATAGAGGAAGTAAATAGGTTTATTACTTTTATTTGGAGTTGCACCAATTTTTTGGTTCCTAAGACCAACGGATAACTACTATCCTTTAAAAGTAAGTAGAAAAAGCCATGTTTTTATACATGGTAGCATGAGTTAGCAGTTCTTGCATACTTTTTCGGTAAATAAGAGTTGTTAGTCTCTATGTCTAGATTCACAATCTAGCGTTTTGTTTAAACTATATTTACAGTAAAGGGTACCCAAAATGATTTTTGGGTTAATTGATAGAAGAAGTAGGGGTAGGAGGTGCATGGCCATGAGAGTGTTTTCCCGGGTGTAGGATGGTGGGATGTTATTGACATGGTATGTCTGTTTGCCTCGTTGCGTTATGATTAGTATATATAGCGAGTAGAGAGCAGTGATCACAATGTTAATTCCTATTAGAATAATGGAGATTGAGGATCATGAGAATGTCGATATGACTACAAATAATTCTCCGATTAGGTTAATTGAGGGTGGTAGAGCTAGATTTGTTAGGCTGGCTAGTAGTCATCAGGCGGCCATGAGTGGGAGTACAGTTTGGAGTCCGCGAGCCAGGATTATTGTTCGGCTGTGGGTTCGCTCGTAGTTTGAGTTGGCTAGACAGAATAGTATGGAGGAGGTTAGTCCGTGTGCGACTATAAGAGCTGTTGCTCCTATATAACTTCAGGGGGTTTGGATTAGGACAGCCACAATTACTAGTGCTATGTGACTAACAGATGAATACGCGATTAGCGATTTCAGGTCTGTTTGGCGTAAGCAGATTGAACTTGTTATAATTATCCCTCAGAGGGATAATATTAGGAATGGGTAGGCTATGAAGTTTGTTGTTGGATTCAGTACGGTAGTAATTCGTAGCATGCCGTAGCCCCCTAGTTTTAGTAGTACGGCTGCAAGAACCATGGAGCCGGCGATTGGAGCTTCTACGTGCGCTTTTGGTAATCACAGGTGTAGGCCGTACAGTGGTATTTTTACTATAAAAGCCATTATGCATGCTAGCCATAGAAAGGAGTTACCTCAGGAATTTGCTAGTGGTTCTGACCAGTATTGGGTGAGTAGGATGTTCAGTGACCCTGTAATGTTTTGCATGTAAATTAATGCAACTAGTAGGGGGAGTGATCCTACTAATGTATAGAACAGGAAGTACAGTCCTGCGTTTAGTCGTTCTGTTTGGGCGCCTCATCGTGTGATAATGATTAGTGTTGGTACTAGGGTTGCTTCGAATAGAATGTAGAAGAAGATTAGTTCCGTGGCTGTGAATGTTATAATGAGAAAAATTTGTAGTGAGATTAGTATTGTAATGTAAAGTTTTTTCCGTGTATATGTTTCTTTGGTCAGGTGGAATTGGCTTGCGATGATTATTAGTGGAAGTAGTCATATGGTCAGTATTAGTAACGGGGTCGATAGTGAGTCGGAGAAATATATGAGGGATAGGTTTAGGCTGTTATCGTTGAATTGGTTTAGTAATGGCAGACTAAGAAGGGTAATGATTAGACTGTGAGCTGTAGTATTAATTCAGATTATGTTGTTTTTTGATAATCAGGTTAGGGGAATTAGTATAATTGTTGGTATAATAATTTTTAGCATTGTAGTAGGTTTAGGTTTTGTACATAGTCTACACCGTATGTGTTAGAGACTATTACTAGTAGGGATAGCCCTAGGGCCGCTTCGCAGGCCGCGAAGACTAGTAGGATAATAGGAATTATGCTGGCTAATACTAAGTTAGAGTTAAGAATTGTTAATGCCATGGTTACGAATAGGGATAACATCATGCCTTCTAGGCATAGAAGTGAAGATATTAGGTGGGATCGGTATATTAGTAGGCCTAGTAATGATACTGTGAATGCCAGTGCTATATTTATATATGTTAAAGCCATTTGATAATTATGGTTATGGTCATAATCTAATGAGTCGAAATCATTTGTTTTTATTAAACTAATTATCAATTATTCAGCTCATTCTAGTCCTTTATTGAACCACTCGTAGGCAAGACTTACGGCTAATAAGGAGATTAGAGTGAGTGATATAGTAAGTATAATTGTTAGGTTGCTTGTTTGGACGGCTCATGGTAGTGGTAGGAGTAGGGCGATTTCTAGGTCAAAGAGGAGGAATGTGATTGCTACTAGGAAGAACTTTATTGAGAAGGGAAGACGGGCGGATCCTATTGGGTCGAAGCCGCATTCGTATGGGCTTGATTTTTCGGCGTATGAATTTATTTGTGGCATTCAGAACGCGATTAGCACTAGTAGTGATGCCAGTAGTGTATTGGTGAGGAGTGTAATTATTAGGTTAATTACTCTTTTTCGGGTTAGACCGAAGCTAATTGATTGGAAGTCAATTGTACTGTTTATACTAAAAGGGTAGGAACCTCATCAATAGATGGAGACGTATAGGAATAGTCATACAACGTCTACAAAATGTCAGTATCAGGCAGCGGCTTCGAATCCGAAATGGTGTTTTGAGGTAAAGTGGAATTTTAGTTGTCGTACGAAGCAGACGAATAGGAATGTCGATCCAATAATTACATGAAGGCCGTGAAATCCGGTAGCTACGAAAAATGTTGACCCATATACCCCATCTGCGATTGTGAATGGGGCTTCGTAATACTCTGAGGCTTGAAGCAGGGTGAAATAGCCGCCTAGAAGGATTGTGGTGAGTAAAGCATGTAGTATGGGTTTGCGGTCACCTTCTATCAGGCTATGGTGTGCCCAGGTAATTGATACTCCTGAGGCTAGAAGGACTGATGTATTTAGGAGTGGGACTTCTAGGGGATTTAGGGGGTGAATGCCTGTAGGTGGTCAACATCCTCCTAGTTCTGGGGTTGGGGCGAGGCTGGAGTGGTAGAAGGCTCAGAAAAATCCGATAAAGAAGAATACTTCAGAGACGATGAATAAGATTATTCCGTAGCGTAGGCCTTTTTGGACGATAGGTGTGTGATGTCCTTGGAAAGTACTTTCTCGTACGATGTCTCGTCACCATTGATACATGGTTAATATATTAGTTAGTAGGCCTAGTAAAAGGATAGAGGGCGTGTTGAAGTGGAATCATATTGCTAATCCGGATGTTAGTAGTAGAGCTGATAAGGCTCCTGTCAGGGGTCATGGGCTTGGGTTTACTATGTGATATGCATGTGTCTGGTGGGTCATTAGGTGTTATCATGTAAATATAGACTTACTAGTAGCGTGAATACGTAAGCTTGAATTAGGGCTACTGCGAATTCAAGGATTGTTAACAGGATTAGGATAATGAATGTGATAAGAGCCGTTATTGTGCTGATGTTTATTAGGGCTAGGGTAGCTCCTCCGATGAGGTGAATTAGTAGGTGCCCGGCCGTAATATTTGCAGTTAATCGTACTGCTAGGGCTATTGGTTGAATAAACAAGCTGATTGTCTCGATGACAATAAGTATGGGGATCAGGGGGATTGGGGTTCCTTGGGGGAGGAAGTGGGCTAGGGATGCTTTGGTTTTATGGCGAAACCCTAAAGCTACTGTCCCTGCTCACAGGGGAATGGCCATCCCTAGATTCATTGACAGCTGAGTTGTTGGTGTGAAGGAATGTGGTAATAAGCCTAGTAGGTTTGTTGATCCAATAAATAGGATGAGTGATATAAGTATCAGGGATCATTTTTGTCCTGTTTGGTTATGGATTGCTATTATTTGCTTTGATGTCAAGTGGATAACTCATTGTTGAATCGCGACTAGGCGGTTGTTTACTAGTCGGTTAGTTGATGGAAATAACATGGTTGGGAACATAATGATTAGTGTAACAATGGGAAGGCCCATTATTGTAGGGGTAATGAAAGAGGAGAATAGATTTTCGTTCATTTGTCTTCTCATGGGGTTGAATGTTTTGTTGACTTTGTGACGGTCGGTTCTGGGTTTTGGTAGTATAAATGTTTTGAGATTTTTAATTGTATAATAATATATAATGTGAGGATTATGGATAGGATAGTGATGAATCATGTGGATGTGTCGAGCTGTGGCATTTCATTAAGGGGAGGTTGGTACTTCCAATCTTTAACTTAAAAGGTTAACGCTTTAGAATAAGCTTCTTAATGATTTTACAGTATGGACGAGGATCATTTTTCGAAATACTTTAGGGGGACTAGTTCAAGGACAATTGGTATGAAGCTGTGATTTGATCCGCAAATTTCGGAGCATTGGCCGTAATATAGGCCTGGCCGTGTAGATAGTAGCGTTGTCTGATTTAGGCGTCCTGGGATTGCATCTGTTTTTAGGCCCAGGGATGGGACGGCTCATGAGTGTAATACGTCTTCAGATGAAATTAGCATTCGAATGGTCAGTTCCATGGGTAGTACTACTCGGTTGTCAACTTCTAGAAGTCGCAGCTCTCCAGGTTTTAAGTCTTGTGTTGGGACCATATAGGAGTCGAAGGTTAAGTCTTCGTAATCTGTGTACTCATAACTTCAATATCATTGGTGACCTATGGTTTTTACAGTTAAATAGGGATTATTAATTTCGTCCATTATATATAGGATTCGAAGGGAGGGGAGTGCAATTATAATTAGGATGATAGCTGGCAGAATAGTTCAGATGGTTTCTACCTCCTGTGCGTCCATGGTGCTAGTGTGGGTTAGGCTAGTTGTTAACATTACTGAAATTAGATATAGTACGAGAGAGCTGATTAGGAAGACGATTATTAGTGCGTGGTCGTGGAAGTGCAGAAGTTCTTCTATAATAGGGGATGTTGCGTCTTGGAAACCTAGTTGGAAAGGGTATGCCATAGAGGTATATAGGGGTTCCACCTATAATTTAACTTTGACAAAGTTATGTAAATTTTACTAATACCTCTCTAGTGGAGAAAGACATAGTGGTTATGATGTTGGCTTGAAACCAATTTTTGGGGGTTCGAATCCTTCCTTTCTTATTTTGGGTTAACGTATGTAGGTTCTTCAAACGTGTGGTATGGTGGGGGACACCCGTGTAGTCACTCTAGGTTTGTAGTAGTTAGCTCTACGGTCGACACCTCTCGTTTTGAGGCGAAGGCCTCTCAGATTATAAATACTATGAGGATTACTGCGGTTAGTGAGATAAATGATCCTATGGAGGATACTGTATTTCAAGTTGTGTACGCGTCTGGGTAGTCTGAGTAGCGTCGTGGTATGCCTGACAGACCTAGGAAGTGCTGAGGGAAGAAGGTTATATTTACACCTACAAATATAATAAGGAAATGGATTTTTGCTCAGGTTTGATTTAGAGTATATCCTGAAAATAGTGGGAATCAGTGGACGAATCCTCCCATGATAGCGAATACAGCTCCTATGGATAGGACATAGTGGAAATGTGCTACTACATAATATGTGTCGTGAAGTACAATGTCAAGTGAGGAGTTGGCTAGGACAATACCAGTCAAGCCTCCAACTGTAAATAGAAAAATGAAGCCTAGTGCTCATAATATTGCTGGAGATCATTTGATATTGCCTCCGTGCAGGGTGGCTAGTCAGCTAAATACTTTTACTCCTGTTGGAATAGCGATGATTATGGTTGCGGAAGTGAAGTACGCCCGTGTGTCAACGTCTATACCTACTGTGAACATGTGGTGGGCTCATACGATAAAGCCGAGGAATCCAATTGATATTATGGCCCATACTATGCCTATATATCCGAATGGCTCTTTTTTGCCAGAGTAATAGGTAACAATATGTGAAATTATTCCGAAACCTGGTAGAATAAGAATATAGACTTCCGGGTGGCCGAAGAATCAAAACAGATGCTGGTACAGGATTGGGTCTCCCCCTCCTGCAGGGTCGAAAAAGGTTGTATTTAGGTTACGGTCTGTTAGTAGTATTGTGATTCCGGCGGCTAGTACTGGCAGAGACAGAAGGAGTAAGACAGCCGTGATTAGGACGGATCAAACGAATAGGGGAGTTTGATACTGGGATAGGGCCGGAGGTTTTATATTGATAATAGTGGTAATGAAATTAATAGCGCCTAGGATTGACGAAATACCAGCTAAGTGAAGCGAGAAGATTGCTAGGTCTACTGAGGCTCCGGCGTGTGCTAGATTACCGGCTAGAGGTGGGTACACTGTTCATCCAGTTCCAGCACCGGCCTCTACCGTTGATGAGGCTAGTAAAAGTAGGAACGATGGAGGTAGAAGTCAGAAGCTCATGTTGTTTATTCGGGGAAATGCCATATCCGGGGCTCCAATCATTAGTGGTACGAGCCAGTTTCCGAAGCCTCCAATTATGATTGGTATAACCATAAAGAAGATTATTACAAATGCATGGGCTGTCACGATTACGTTATAGATTTGATCGTCGCCCAATAGAGTTCCTGGCTGGCCCAGTTCTGCCCGGATTAGCAGGCTGAGGGCTGTTCCAACTATGCCAGCTCAGGCGCCAAATAGTAGGTATAGAGTGCCAATATCTTTGTGGTTGGTTGAAAAGAGTCAACGATTTATGAACATAGGTAAAATGGCTGAGTAGGCATTAGACTGTAAATCTAAAGACAGAGGTGTAAGTCCTCTTTTTACCAAGCCTCGTAGTGTATGTAACATGTCGAATTGCAAATTCGGAGAAGCAGCTCTAACCCTGCCGGGGCTTCTCCCGCCTTTTTTTTTCTTTTAAGGCGGGAGAAGTTAGATTGAAGCCAGTTGATTAGGGTATTTAGCTGTTAACTAAATTTTCGTGGGGTTGGAGCCCACCAATCTAGTAAGGGCTTAGCTTAATTAAAGTGGTTGATTTGCATTCAATTGATGTAAGATATAGTCTTGCAGTCCTTACAGTCAGGAATTAAATGTATTGCATTTACTTAGGGCTTTGAAGGCCCTTGGTCTATGTTTAACCTAAATTCCTATTCCAGTAATGCCAGTATTGGAGATAGCGGTAGGATCAGGGTAGATAGGATGATTAGGGGTGATAGGTAGGTTGTTGGTTTGGTGTAGTTGAACTGTCATTTTATTTTTATACTGTTTGTTGAAGGGAACATTGTCAGTGATGTGGAATATGTGAGGCGTATGTAGAAATATAGGTTTAGTAGTGCTATGACGGCTATTGCGGTTGGTATAATTACGCTGTCGTTTTTTGTCAGCTCTTGAATAATCATTCATTTTGGTATAAACCCAGACAGTGGGGGTAGACCTCCCAGTGATAGCATGGTGAGTAGGATGGCTGTGGTGAGTAGGGGTGTTTTGTTTCATGTGTGAGATAAGGATAGTGTTGTTGTTGTGGAGTTTAACATGAACATTATGAATGTTGTGGTTGTTAGTAGGATATAGATTACCAGGTTTAGTAAGGTTATTGTTGGGTTGTATGTTAAGATGGCTGTTATTCACCCTATGTGGGCGATGGATGAGTAGGCTATAATTTTTCGTAGTTGGGTCTGGTTGAGGCCTCCTCAGCCTCCGATGGCAATGGACAGAATTGATAGTATTATGAGTAGGTCCAGGTTGATTGTTGATGAAATTTGGTAGAGGATGGATATTGGGGCTAGTTTTTGTCAGGTCAGGAGGATTAGGCCTGATGGCAGGGAGATGCCTTGTGTGACCTCTGGCACTCAGAAGTGGAAGGGAGATAGCCCAAGTTTTATAGCTATTGCCAGTGTTATAATGGTTGACGCTATTGGGTTGAGTGGTTTTGTGATGGATCATTGGCCTGAATATACTAGGTTTATGGTTACAGCTAATATTAGTAGCATTGATGCGGTTGCTTGTGTTAGGAAATATTTGGTTGATGCTTCTATGGATCGGGGGTTGTATTTTTTCATTAGGATTGGGATAATGGTTAGTATGTTTATTTCAAATCCGATTCATGCTATGAGTCAGTGAGAGCTTGTTGCTACAATAGCTGTTCCTAGTATAACGGTTGATATAATTATGGTAAAGATCAGGGGGTTTATTAGTACGGGAAGGATATGAACCAACATTTTCGGGGTATGGGCCCGATAGCTTATTTAGCTGACCTTACTTAGGATATGGTGTAATATGGTAGCACTAAGATTTTTGAATTCTTCGGAGTAGGTTCGAGTCCTATTATCCTAGAAATAAGAGGGCTTTCACCTCTATTATTTACTCTATCAAAGTAACTCTTTTGTCAGACATATTTCTTATGTTTGTGGTGGAATTCCTGCTATGGTAATTGGTATGGCCACGTGTCATATGCACAGAGCCAGTGTGAGGGGTAGAAAATTTTTTCATAGTAAGTGTATTAGTTGGTCATATCGGAATCGTGGGTAGGATGCTCGGATTCATAGGAAAAACACTGTTAGTAGCAGGGTTTTAATAATTAGGTTGAGGGTATATAGTTCAGGTATTGTGGGGTCGTGGAATGCTCCCATAAATAGGATGGCCGTTAGGGTGTTTATTATGATGATATTGGCATACTCCGCTATGAAGAAGAGGGCGAATGGTCCTCCTGCATATTCTACGTTGAATCCGGAGACTAGCTCTGACTCTCCTTCGGTCAAGTCAAATGGGGCTCGATTTGTTTCGGCCAACGTGGAGATAAATCATATTATGGCTAGTGGTCATGAGGATAATATGAGTCATGTGTGTTCTTGGGTAATAATCAGTGTTGATAGTGAGAATGACCCGCTTAGAAGTAGCACGGATAGAAGAATGATAGCCAGTGTAACTTCATAGGAAATTGTCTGTGCTACCGCTCGTATTGCTCCGATTAGTGCGTACTTCGAGTTTGAGGCTCAGCCAGATCATAGGATAGAATATACGGCTAGGCTGGATATGGCTAGCATAAATAGTACGGCTAGGTTTATGTTGATTAGTGGGTGAGGTATTGGCAGTGGGATTCATATTGTTAGGGCTAGAGTAAGGGCTAAGATTGGTGCGATGATGAATATGGATGGGGAGGATGTGAGGGGACGTAATGGTTCTTTAATAAATAGTTTTAGGGCGTCGGCTATGGGTTGTAGTAGACCATAAGGGCCTACTACGTTAGGTCCTTTGCGGAGTTGTATGTACCCTAATACTTTTCGTTCAATAAGGGTTAGAAAGGCTACGGCCAGGAGGATGGGAACAATTATTGTTAAAAGGTTGACTATGAACATATTGTTAGGAAGAGGAGTTGAACCTCTGATTATAAAAGCTTAAGTTTTATGCAATTGCCGGGCTCTGCCATCCTAACGTTTAACCCTGTTTTCGGGTTGAGTTGTGCTGTTGCTATCAGATTGAGATTGTGTCATCTGTTGGCTTTGAGGGCGCTTGTGTTAAGTAGGCCCTGTTTCTCTTGTCCTTTCGTACTGGGAGAAGCACAAAATAGATAGAAACCGACCTGGATTGCTCCGGTCTGAACTCAGATCACGTAGGACTTTAATCGTTGAACAAACGAACCATTAATAGCGGCTGCACCATTGGGATGTCCTGATCCAACATCGAGGTCGTAAACCCTATTATCGATATGGACTCTCAAATAGGATTGCGCTGTTATCCCTAGGGTAACTTGTTCCGTTGATCAATTTTTTGGATCAATAAATGACTGAATCCGTTGACTTGTTGGTCTAAGGTTTTGTCTCTCGGAAGTTATTTTGTATTCCGAGGTCGCCCCAACCTAAATTGTTAGCCCATTAAAAGGTCTCTTGTTTTCCTTAGAAGTGTAAGTTGTTTATTTATTGGACTAATTAATTAAAGCTCCATAGGGTCTTCTCGTCTTATTTGTATATTCCCGCCTCTTCACGGGAGGGTCAATTTCACTGATTGGAAGTAAGAGACAGTAAAACCCTCGTGTGGCCATTCATACAAGTCCTTATTTAGAGAACAAATGATTATGCTACCTTTGCACGGTCAGGATACCGCGGCCGTTTAACAGATGTCACTGGGCAGGCAGTGCCTCTAATAGTTGCTATGCTAGAGGTGATGTTTTTGGTAAACAGGCGGGGTTTGTGTTTGCCGAGTTCCTTTTACTTCTTTTAATCTTTCCCTTAAGTGCACTCCTGTGTTGGGTTAACAGTTGGTTCAATAAATCTTTTACTTGTGGTGTTGGATTTGTTTTGTTGTTAATTATCAGTGGGTCATCCGTTCTGATATAAGCTTGTGCAGGGAGAAACTAGTTCTTGTTACTCATATTAACAGTATTTCCTCTATTTTATGATAGAGTGGTCCAGTGGTCGGGCTAGGGGTTCGCGTATAATTTTTTGGATTAGAACTTGGGTTAGTTGTTGAGCTTGAACGCTTTCTCAATTGGTGGCTGCTTTTAGGCCAACTATGAATTTTTGTGGTGCTTACTCTCTAGTCAAGGTTGTATCCTGTTTCTAAGAGGCTGTACCCTCTTAGATTACATTTTAAGTCTGCATTTGAACTGTGATTTTTTTAGGCATGACTTAAAGTCGAACTAAAATTCTATTCTGGACAACCAGCTATCACCAGGCTCGGTAGGCTTTTCACCACTACCTAAAAGTCTTCTCACTATTTTGCTACATAGACGAGTTGGCTCTTTTGCTGCTCTTAGGTAGCTCGTCTGGTTTCGGGTTATTCGGCTTTAGTTCTCTTCGTCGAGCTGCTCTAGTTAAATCATTATGCAAAAGGTACAAGGGGTAAGCTTTGCTGTTTTTTACTTTTAATTTGTCTTTCACCATTCCCTTGCGGTACTTTCTCTATAGCGCCAGATTAAAATTTCTATCTCCTATACTTTAGTTAGGGTAAATGTTTTGTTTTATTTTGTATTGTTAGTTGAGTTTATATTTGTATGGGCTAGCATTTGTTCAAAGTGGCCATTGTTGTATGGAATCTTCTGGGTGTAGGCCAGGTGCTTTGTATAAGCTACACTTTGATTTATCCAAGCGCACTTTCCAGTACGCTTACCTTGTTACGACTTATCTCCTCTCATATGCGTGTACATTTATTAATAGGGTTGAGTATTTGTATCTTTATACTTGAGGAGGGTGACGGGCGGTGTGTGCGTGCTTCATGGCCTTATTCAATTAAGCTCTCTATTCTTAATTTACTACTAAATCCTCCTTCTATTTTCGGTTTCACGAAAATTTTCGTTGGTATTCTATGCTAGAAAATGTAGCCCATTTCTTTCCAACTCATAGGCTACACCTTGACCTAACGTTTTTATGTTTTATGGTTTTGCTTACTTTGCTTCCTTTTTAGGGTTTGCTGAAGATGGCGGTATATAGGCTGTATTAGCAAGAGTTGGTGAGGTTTATCGGGGTTTATCGATTACAGAACAGGCTCCTCTAGAGGGATGTAAAGCACCGCCAAGTCCTTTGAGTTTTAAGCTGTTGCTAGTAGTACTCTGGCGAGTAGCATCGTTGTTTCGGCTACTTAGGTTTAGGGCCAAGCATAGTGGGGTATCTAATCCCAGTTTGTGTCTTAGCTATCGTGTGATCGGATTGTTTAAAGTCACCTTCGTGGTTTATTTTTATCTGGGCTAAAGCTTTCTACAGCATAGTCTAAGATTTAACTTTATTGGGTGGATGATTTCCTTAACACGTTTTACGCCGTTTATCTATTAACTTGGGTTAATCGTATGACCGCGGTGGCTGGCACGAAATTTACCAACCCTATGGGTCAGTATGGCTTAGTCAAACTTTCGTTCATGGCTTAATTTTTGTCACTGCTGTATCCCGTGGGGGTGTGGCTAGGCGAGGTGTCTTTAGCTACTTGTACAGTGTGCTTGATACCCGCTCCTTTTTATCACTGATGATTGAAAGGGCGTTTTCACCGGGGTGCTGATACTTGCATGTGTAATCCTACTGATGGCTAATAGAAGGGCTAGGACCAAACCTTTGTGTTTATGGAGTAGTGTATACTCATCTAGGCATTTTCAGTGCCTTGCTTTATAGTTAAGCTACATTAAC